GCAGTTATGATGACAATATATTTAATTCTGATTGTAGACAACATGTTTTTGTAAAAACGAATAAAGTAAAGTTTCTTTACTTCAGACTAAAGTAATTAGTGATATGTTTTGACATTTAGAATTAAATTTGTAGAAATATACATATGTATATTAAGAGAGTTCGTTTGTCTTAAATTTCTAGGAATCATTATGTCAAATTGTTTTTTACAAGGATTACAAAAAGATTGTGTTGCGTTCATTGTGTATATCTTTTTTTTTTATTTAGAGTGATAAATTGTTTTATTTTGTCGGCCAACATTGTGTGTTTTTTTTCTTATTTCTTCAGAGTACTTTCAGAGTACTTTCAATTTATTTACATCATAGTGAAGCAATGACATACAGCTAGTATATATATATATATATATATATATATATATATATATATATATATATATATATATATATATATATATATATATATATATATATATATATATATATATGGTGACAGGACAAATGATCTCAGGACAAATGATCTCAGACAAAATATCTCAGACAAAATATCTCACGGACAAATGATCTCAAGACAAATGATCTCAGGACAAATGATCTCAAGGACTAAAGATCTCACGGACAAAAGATACCAGGACAAAATATATCATGACAAATGATACCACGGACAATTGATCTCAGACAAAATATCTCAGACAAAATATCTCACACCTAAATTTTAATAGTGTATTGGATAATTTTAGTTGATCTGAATTTTTTTGTATTGACTGTCTTATGGTTCTGTTTACTATGTTTAATATTGTTTATAGGCCTATATAATAATTGTAAGAAATGTTTGCCGTATACATTTGTCATATTGCACTAAACATTTTAAGGTTAGTATTAGTAATGTAGTATACCAAGATTAAAGAAATAATTTCGAAAGACAGCGTAGGTGTGCTTGACAAGCGTGAGACAATCCTACCACGTCAGGTGGACGAAACGAGATCAAAGGGGATGGAATAACAATTAAGACACACCTTCGTATCAAGTTGGCAGCCCGCTTTCCTTAATGGAATGACATCCGCCTTCCATGGACAATACGACTAGCATATAAAGTCCATTGTAATGCGTCGGTCACACCTTAGTGATCAGGTGACTAATGCTTATTTAATCGACAGCGGTCATCGCGGAGCTAAGTATGTCGTAACAAAGCAGTATTAATGGTGATTGCTTTGCTATGGTCTCTTTCGTTACCTCGCAGAAAGGTATTAGGACATTAGTTTCTGGTGAATTTATATTTGCCATACGCAGCCAAAGAGATTTGGAAATGTGAAATTAGGACATGTCGAGCAAGAGTTCACACAATAGATTATCACCTAGTATTGGAGAGGTGTGATCATAACGATGTACCTACGAGAAAAGAAACTTACACGTTATGTTTGTGTTAATGATGTAATAAAAACAATAGTTTAACGTTACGAACCTTCAGACCCACTCACATTTTTGAAAGATATTTCGCGTGACATGAACATTAATGTTCTATAGCTACCGTTACTTTATTTGTTTTATACATTATCATTTATTATACCTTTCAGGCTAAAATAGTAAGTTTGTTTTAATTTTTACTTTTTCAAATCAAATTCTACTACAATTGCTTAATACACCTTTTTGATGGTTTGTTAGGTTTCACTAATTCATTTTATTCACAATTATTATACGTAAAAAAGTAAACAAAACCATATTAACAGTCAATAAAAAAAAGTTCAACTAAAATCATCGTAAATACTATTAAAATTTCGCTGTGAGATATTTTGTCTGAGATCATTTGTCCATGATATCATTTGTCCTGATATATTTTGTCCTGGTATCTTTTGTCCGTGAGATCATTTGTCCTTGAGATCATTTGAACTGAGATCATTTGTCCGTGAGATATTTTGTCTGAGATATTTTGTCTGAGATCATTTGTCCTGAGATCATTTGTCATGGAACCATATATATATATATATATATATATATATATATATATATATATATATATATATATATATATATATATATATATATATATGTGTGTGTGTGTGTGTGTGTGTATATATATATGTGTATATATATATACACTTATATATATATATATATATATATATATATATATATATATATATATATATATATATATATATATATATATATATATATATATATATATATATATATATAGGCCCCTATATATATATTCCGACGGGAATAAAAAAAATTGTTACTTTTCAGGGCTTTAAGTCTGACCAACAGTTTTTCTATAAAGGTGCATGCAAAAAAACGAGCCAGAGGTTAAGTACCCTAAAAGTTGTTGAAATTACTTAAAATACAAAGATTATATAGGGAAAAACGACTGGTCAGTTTTGACCTATTTCTAGATTTTTCCCGGATATGCCGAGTTTTTTCTGACACCCCTAGGCGTTCTCCTAGCAACTTACAAAATATCAAGGGGGGGGGGGGGGGGTCGCTCGGCAAAAGTTTTTTTTTCATAATATAATTCATATAAGGCGCCGGTCAATCGAGGTCAGTTTTGATCCATTGTCCGTGGACTTTGCGGCCCTCGTGTTCTATTGCCCAAAGGCAGGATCCTGCAAAATATAAGCGGCTAGGTAGTGTGTCAGTCCGTCATCGCTATACATTTTGAAACCATAAAGTAAACTCTTCATTTTTTTTTTACTTTTAAACAAATTAATTAAACTGTTTTGTAACTTTGCCAAGGGAGGTAATTTAAAAATAAATTCAATTCACGCTAATAACAAAAATGTAAATGCAAAATCTCCAAGAGGAAATTATTTTTGAAATAATATAATTATCAAAATTTGAATGCAAATTCGGAAGACGTGTAGACGGACATTATTGTTGGATTATTATAATTAGCATGGATTGATAAAAGGAAATCTTTTATTTAATTTTATTCTTTGAAAGTACTGTTTACTAATTATAATTTTTAATCAACAATTCCGCACTATTATTCATATCATCGTGTTCATTAGGTGCACAAGGGTTTTAGTCATGAAACTGTATTGTAAATTTTTTAAATTTTAAGTACAGAAAATAAATTGATAAAGTGCAATATGGTAGGTAAAACACGGATATTTCAAATACTGCCTTTTATTTATTTTATACACTGAACGTACTGTTTATTAATTATTATTTTATCTTGCGGTTTGCGGACAAGCTGGGTTTTTTTATAGTCGTTCACTAAATCTGGCGCGTCCGCCGGTGCTCGGACAGGGTGCAATTTGGCGCCACGAGCTAGACTGTGAACACTATGCGATTATTTTTTCATTTAATTTGTGTTTATGTTATGAGTGTTGTCTTTCGTGTTTGTGTTTTTGTGTATGTGTTTTCTTTGTTTTCTTTTGTGTTTCTGTTGTGTTTGTGTTGTGTTTGTGTTGTTTGTGTTGTGTTTGTGTTGTGTTTGTATTGTGTTTGTGTTGTGTTTGTGTTGTGTTTGTGTTGTGTTTGTGTTGTGTTTGTGTTGTTTTTAAGTTGTGTTTGTGTTTGTGTTGTGTTTGTGTTGTGTTTGTGTTGTGTTTGTGTTTTGGGTATGCAGCTAGTATATATACACGACCATCTGGCGTTAGCCTGAACAGCCCAAAATGTAGACAAGCGACATGGCGCCTATATTTTAATTTGGGAGTGACCAGCGCTAGACATTAATGGCTTAAGCATGCTCGTTGCTTGACTAGAAGTTACCGTGGGAAACTTGGGTCTGGTCGGACTAGAACGTTACTTAGATATAACACTTGTGGAGGTGAAAACTTGCCCGCACCTGGAGTCTTGTAGATTCGTCTACCAGAGGGAGGTAAATTCAGACCTAGGGACATGGCAGGGTTAGACGCAAACCAAACAGGACGTAACTCGTGAGCTGCTTGAGCCCACCGGATATCTGTAGACGAGTAAAGACAGTTAGTGATAAATAGTGTAGTCACGTGAAAGACTTTTTATTTCAGTTATTGATCTAATAGTTGTTTCTTCGATCTGTTTTATAAGGTGACAGTTTATGTTCGGTGGTGAAACATTATAGAGGCAAGAGCAAGATCATATGTATGTGTATGTGTATGTGTATGTGTATGTGTATGTGTGTCTGTGTCTGTGTCTGTGTCTGTGTCTGTGTCTGTGTCTGTGTCTGTGTATGTGTATGTGTATGTGTATGTGTATGTGTATGTGTATGTGTATGTGTATGTGTATGTGTATGTGTATGTGTATGTGTATGTGTATGTGTATGTGTATGTGTATGTGTATGTGTATGTGTATGTGTATGTGTATGTGTATGTGTATGTGTATGTGTATGTGTATGTGTATGTGTATGTGTATGTGTATGTGTATGTGTATGTGTATGTGTATGTGTATGTGTATGTGTATGTGTATGTGTATGTGTATGTGTATGTGTATGTGTATGTGTATGTGTATGTGTATGTGTATGTGTATGTGTATGTGTATGTGTATGTGTATGTGTATGTGTATGTGTATGTGTATGTGTATGTGTATGTGTATGTGTATGTGTATGTGTATGTGTATGTGTATGTGTATGTGTATGTGTATGTGTATGTGTATGTGTATGTGTATGTGTTTGTGTTTGTGTTTGTGTTTGTGTTTGTGTTTGTGTATGGGCATGGGTATGTGTATGTGCGTAAGTGTATGTGTGTACGTGCGTGCGAGTATGTGTGTGGATATGTGTGTGGATATAATAAGAGAGAGAGAGAGAGAGAGAGAGAGAGATGGTTTGTGGTGAATTACCAATGGTGTCCGATCAAAAAGAACAAGTAATCATGTTTGTAGCTCTTAATCAACTTAGTTAATTGGTCTTGCAACGATTGTTACTTGTGTTTGAAATACAGACACACGTTAGTACAACTAAACCCCCAACCAAAATACCTGGTTGTGTTGATACTGTCAGACACAGCAAACCAAACACCGTTAGGGAACTCATCTTCTGATGTTCTGCCTTCAACCCTCAGATAACATTACTTGTGTGTACCTGCTAATCCGACAGACTAAATTGCTCTATATACAACAGGTGTAAAGCTATTGGTTGATGATACACTCCAGTGTATCTATTTAAGCTAGTATTACTGCTATACTCTTGGTCTTTTAACTATATACTACCTAGTAAAGTTTGTTTTTATTTTATTTTTAAGTTTTTTTATTTGATAAAAAAAATGCGACATTATTCTTTGTTATTTTTGCGTTAAATATTGTGTTAAAGTATGTAAAACTCACTTCTTATTTCTAAAGTTTTTCAATACTTTTTGTGTGACGATACTTTAAGTTAAAACATATAAAATAAATAAACTTAAGCCTCCTGCACCATGCCTGACCGCCTTTACTGAACCAAAATATCTTCAACCTACCACTACAATATACTATTAGGATATCCCAACACAAACTCAAATTACAACCTACCACTATAGCGTGAAATAACAACATCCGAATACAACCTATCACTTCTATCTACCACTACAGCCTACCTATACATCCTCACTTTTCAACCTACAGCTACAAGCTACTACTACAACCTACAATTACTACCTAAATTTACTACTGCCCATTACAACTTCCTTTACATCTATCACTACAACCTACAACTGCTACCTTTTAACTACAACCTAAAAAATTACAACTTACCTTGTGAAATGTTGATTTTTTTTAAAAATATGCGAATCCCCTTTGTGTTGAAGAGATCAAATCAAATCAGAACCATTGTGATAAATCAACGATTGGATTCTACCAGAATACTCATGCTAGTAGTGTTTAATCTATTTCCAGCAGACTTAATAGATTTGTATTGGTTTATCGAACTTGGCAAAATGTTAAATCTGTTCTTGATCACATTACTGAATTACACTAAGTTTTGTCTAGTTCAATAACTGTAAAATGCTCAGTTATACACATGAAAAGATGCACGGACATAGATGGCAAGGTCCTAGCTCATCATTGGGATAACTGAAGACTCCAATTACCTTTACCACAACCACCTTTACAATCAGCTTTACAACAATCACCCCTAAACTACCATCCTTACCACAACCACCTTTACAACAATCACCTTTACCACAATCATCTTTACCACAATCAATTTTACCACAATCATCTTTACCACAATTACCTTTACCACAACCATCTTTACCACAACCACCTTTACCACAATCACCTTTATCACAATCTCCTTTACCACAACCACCTTTACCACAACCACCTTTACCACAATCACCCCTAACACAATCACCTTTACCACAATCACCGTTACCACAATCACCTTTATCCCAATCACCTTTAACACAATCACCTTTACCATAATCACCGTTACCACAATCACCTTTATCCCAATCACCTTTACCACTATCACCTTTACCACAATCACCCCTGACAGAAGTCTAAAAATCCGATGTTTTTGCCGACGGCATAAATGGATGGCATTAATGGATGGCATTAATGGATGGCATTAATGGATGGCATTAATGGACGGCATTAATGGATGACATTAATGGATGGCATTAATGGAAATATTAATGGATGTTTTAGTCTGCTGAAGCTGATAAAATCAGGAGTTGTACGGTTTTCTTAAAATCAGTTTGTAGAGAACGAGTGAAGGGGGATGAATGGGGGGAATGTTGTTTGTACTTGGTACCCTATCCCGTTCGTCCTTTTTCAGTTCTCGTGCATTGAGTTGTAATATTCCGGTTTGTACCAGTTTATGAAAGGGTATATAAGGTGTGTGAAAACGTGTGTGGTTGCCTCAGTTTCGTCCAAAACTCCAAGGTTAGTCCAAGTTAGGTCTATACTAGTTTTAGCCACTGTATCTTAGTTTTACTAGCTTGTGTGTTTTGTGTTTAGAATACACTGCGTTAGGTGTAGATAGTGTAGATACTATTAAATTCTTTTAGCTTTAACGAGCCTTTGTTTTCATTCAGTCTTGTTTTGTAACCCGTTTGTGATTGTCTTATATGTTGCGCTACGCATCGGATCACCCGAAAGCACGTACGTGAGTTCACAACACAGTTATAGGAACGGGAATATTATTTTAGTTACCATTGATTGTTGGGCCCTTGTTATGGTGAGATTTAACTCAATCTTCCTTTTCTGATATTTTTTATGGGACGGGCACATGTAAATTTCGGGGGTAAAACTTTTCCTTTCAAACCTGACGGTCTACGGGGCAAATGAAATAGAGTTCACTTGTTTCTGTGACCTCGGCATATGAAGAGATAGTGTGGTCAGCAATATGCCCAGAAATTTCGGGGGTATGGACTTAAATTTCCATAAGGTTGGAGGTGGACACTGTATAGAAATTACAAAACAAAGTGCATCAAATAAATACCACTGCTATTTGTGTTTATTTAATTGTTTAATATACCATCAATCATTTATCATTTTAAAAAATACCCACAAACATTTTAACTATATTGGTTGATATATTGTTTCTTGTTTTTTGTTGTTGTTTTGTTTTTTTTTAATTTAAACCCAAATTCTTTTCAGAACACAATTTTATTAAGCAATTGTTTATTTTATTTTTTATTCACACTTAAAACACTGGACTTTATGTAAGTCTAAACTTGTTAGGACTTTGTCCATAGACAGCCATCTTCTTGACAGTAAGTTTATATCGGTTTGGTCTCTGTCGATGTAGCTTTGATTTTCTTGAATGGTGTCTTGCTCTTCTCATCTCCAGGTATCCAATTATTTAGGTCAAACCGGGTCTTAATAAAACTAGGTTTCTGCGGGGCAAAAAATAATAATTTGTCGAATTAAGTCTTAAAATCTGAGAGTTATTTCACGAACAGTCACACAAAACAGACATATCAACGCCCACAGGAAACAAACATGGACGGTCACAAAAAAAACGAACAAAGACGGTCATGGGAAACAAATTGACGGTTATAAGAAACATACATGGACGGTCACAGGAAACATACATGGACGGTCACAGGAACCGAACAAAGACGGCCATGGGAAACAAATTGACGGTTATAGGAAACAGACTTGGTCGGTCACAGGAAACGAACAAAGACGACCACGGGAAACAAATTGACGGTTATAGGAAACATACATGGACGGTCACAGGAAACATACATGGACGGTCACAGGAACCGAACAAAGACGGCCATGGGAAACAAATTGACGGTTATAGGAAACAGACTTGGTCGGTCACAGGAAACGAACAAAGACGGCCATGGGAAACATATTATATTGACAGCCACATGAAACAGATATGCACGGCCAGTGAAACCGACATGGACTACCATATAAAACAGACATGGAATATAAAACCAACAGCCTTGGTAGTTCCCTAATGTAAAAAGCATTTTTGGCTTGTGCTCTAATGGAGAAAGCAAAACGTGAAAAGCACCAAAAAGTCTGGCTAAACTAAAACACAAGTATGGTTCTTTAATTATCAGTGAACACAACTCTGTAGCTTCAAATTACTTACGTCTGAGAGTTTGTTCTGTACTTGAACTACCTCAACCTTGTGGAGTACAAAGAGAATATTATGTTGGAGACAAATCAACTGTAACTTGTGACTTGATTTTTTAGATTAGCTTTAAAGTGGGAAGATAAAGAGGAGGGAAAGCATGTAGTTGAGATTATATACAAAAAAAAGTTTAACTCACATAGTCAGATCACATATACTAAAGTAAACTCATATAGATCACATTTACTAAAGATGTACTCACACAGATTACATACAGGAAATCTATGCTCATCTACTTAGATAATACAGTAAAGGTGTACTTACATAGTAAATTCACATAAAGAATGATATACTCACATAAGGTACATATTATAAAGATATACTCACATAAAGTACATATAATAAAGATATACTCACATAAAGTACATATAATAAAGATATACTCACATAAAGTTCATATAATAAAGATATACTCACATAAAGTACATATAATAAAGATATACTCACATAAAGTACATATAATAAAGATATACTCACATAAAGTTCATATAATAAAGATATACTCACATAAAGTACATATAATAAAGATATACTCACATAAAGTTCATATAATAAAGATATACTCACATAAAGTACATATTGTAAAGATGTACTCACATAGATCACAAATAGTAAAGATGTACTCACATAAAGTACATATAATAAAGGTATACTCACATAAAGTACATATAATAAAGATATACTCACATAAAGTTCATATAATAAAGATATACTCACATAAAGTACATATAGTAAAGATGTACTCACATAGATTACATATAGTAAAGATGTACTCACATAGATCACATATAATAAAGATGTACTCACAGAGTCAAGGAACCAGCCAGGACCAATGCCGCTGTTGTCGTGTCCGATCTCTATAGAAGTGACTTGCCCAACATCAGGGCCCATCACCTGTAAAAACAAGAATCACAAACTATGTCCACTTCAACAAAACCCTAACATTTGTATTCGAATTGTTTAACCAAATATAAAAAACGAGCTGACCCGCGACGTAGCATACGCCGCTATCTAGTTGTTTTATTTTCTACTTATTAACAATTCATAATTTGTGAATTCGACACTACCAATACTTAAGTATTAAGAACCTTATTTCACATACCACCTCACACCTATGAATACTTTCCAGCATTGATTATTCACCAAATTGGCCGCCTATTTTTTTACTTTCTCGTATATACGAAGTATAGAGAAAGTATTGTAATCGTGCACAAAAATCAATTGAAATTTTAACAATTTTTACCGTATTACACCTCAGTCCTTCATCACATCCGAAGTATAGAGGACTTATTTTAATCGGGCAAAAATTATCAATCCAGATTTATCAAAATTAAGAGGTTTTATGCGTAATCCAGTTTGAAAAACTGGGCGTTGCAATTCTGTCCGTATGTCTGTGTGTGTGTGTGTCTGTCTGTCTGTCCGTGTGTAAACACGATAACTTGAGTACCGTTACAGCTAGGTTGATGAAATTTCATATATAAGTATTTCATCAAAATCGTAGATCCGTATCAACTT